AGCCTCTCGCCACCCCTGAACCCCTGGCCTGTACCCCAGTTCTGTATGTATAAATAAATATATCTTTAAAAAAAAAAGGGGGGGGGGGAAATCAAGAAAACTGGCCATTTTTTTTGTATGTAACCAGCATTTATAGCAGGTCTTTTGTGATTCTAAATCTTTAGGGATAAAATATAAGTAAACAAAATTAACCCTAACAGTAAAAAAAAGGTTAACATATAAAAAAAGAAGAATTTAACTTGCCCATATGCTTTCTTAATTAGAAAAGATAAAGAAAATGCTCTTATGAAGTAGAAAAAAAAAACTTGTGAAAATGAACACCTACCTGTAATCTGCCTGGGGGTCTCTGGAATACTGAGCGTAGAATCCCTGCCATGTGTGATGAAAGTGCTCTTCAGAGACTGTAAGAAGCAGGAAATAGGTTCATGAATTATGTCTTGGAAGTGAACAGGTTCCTCCTTCTGTAGTACTAATAAACTAAGCAAATTGAAAACTTGATAAAAATTTAACAGTAAAATCTTCTTTATTTTAATATAAATGGACAAGAACTAAGTTGTAATAAATGTTTGATTCAGAGTTTAGCAAAACCTTATGTAGTAATTGCATGTTAATCACATTCCATTTTTAACAAATGAGTTACAGGCTTGGCAGACTCCCCAAAAGTGGGAACAGAGGTAATTATTGTTTAAAAAATCTTCAACAGTGAGGACAGGTAAAGAATGCTTTGTTAAAGGATCACAGAAAGGTAAAAAGCTAGAAGGGACTAAAGAAAACCAAACTCTTATAATTAGAGATGACAACCTTCTTTATGTATGAGGAAAATTCCACAGAGTTTAATCTTTATCCAAAGGCATCCTGGTATCAAGAGAACACATGATGAGGAATCCAATTTTCCTAATTTCCAATCCAGTGCATGTTCACTGTTCTTTGTTTAAAAGAAAATCAGAACTCTTTTTTTGGTTATTTATATTTTGAAACTATTCTTAACAAACATGCATTGCTTCCATAATCTAAAAAAAGTCCTGTTTAATGAGACACAAAACAATTATAATCAACTAAATTGACATAGAATGAAATTATACTGACATTAGGTTTAAGAACTAGATGTATGTTTTGGATAGACTACTTAATACATTTCAGCTTTCTCTTCAAGAATAGTAAAAAAATTAAAATCTATCTTTGAAATGAGTTACTCTATAAACATCAAAAACAGTATCTGGCACATAAGAAGTCTTCAATAAATGGTAGCTTTTATTATTATTAAATTATGGCAAAGCTATAGTGAAAATACCCTACCATACAATATCAAGTAAGTGTTATACTTCAGTGTCTGCCAGAGTCTGGCTCAATGACACTCTCGTCAATCCTTTCTGTGATGTGGACAAAGCAATGGAGTTACTGGATCAGGATCAACTACAAAAAAAGCCAAACATCAGAAGACTCCTCAGCAAGGAACTCAACCTTTCAATTATCTAAGAAGGGTCAACAACTAAATCCTTAGTGTTCTGAAAACAAGAATTATGTCTTGTTCATCTTCAACCCCCCAAAGCTAGCCTGCTATCTGATGAACTACTTAGTAGGCACCTGGTGTATCCATCGATTAATGGATTAGACAGATGGTCCACTCAACTCTGAATTCAGAAGTATGTAAGAATTTCATAACTGTCATTCAGACTTCAAACCTAGAACATTATAATCTCGGCTTCAAACTACCCACTGTTTGCTTGGCTAGTTATTCATTTTCTTTTTTTCTTTAGTTATTCATTTTCTACTAAGGCTGTCTTAAAAGAGATGCTTAACGGTTCATATCTTCACTCAAACAGATAATGCAAAATTAATACTTAACTGTGGTTCTTCTTCCCAAATGTGGTATTATATATTTAATCCAACTCATTTGGCTTCACTTTGTGTTAAATCTTTCTCTTAAAGATTTCAACCAAAGCCTCCTAACTGGTCTTCCTTCTTCTATCTAACTTCTCTAAGGTCTTTTTTCCACAGCAGCTATTACCTTATTAAATCCTAAACCAGATCACATTAACTCTGTGCTTAAACCTTCCAGTGAGCCAGTTTTCTCAGTGTTTGAATGGGAGGTTACACATAAACAAGAAAAAGTTAAAGTGATTTGTATGTTCCAATGGTACTTGATTAGAGCTGGACCTCGTATTTAGCTCAGTATAGATCCTAGTGGATTTAGAAATAATTATAGATATGTATGTATACATGAGTTAGCTCTGTTAGCTGAGAAGACCTGAAAGAAATGGCAGTAGTAATGAGTATGCCTGCATCCTTTCTAAAAGCATTCTAGTTTCTAATAGTAATACTTTCTACTAGCATTCTCTACAAAAGAAACCAGGGCTTCTTGGAGAAGTGAATGATTTTAGGGCTACAGCATCTTGTAGGTCTATACAGTAACTACTTAAAAAATCAAAAATGAGTGTGTGACAAAGGGACACAGGAGCTAGTTGAAAGAGCTTGCAATGGCTAAAGTTTGAATAATACAAGTATGCTTAAACAAGAGAAGTCTGAGAAACTGTCATAATCAAGTTTAAAAAGGTCTAAGGAGACTAGATTACTAAATGTAATGTGGTATCCTGGATGGGTTTCTGGAATATTAAAAGAGCATAAAGTAAAAACCAAGGAAATCTGAATGAAGAATGAATGTAAACAATTTATCAGTATTAGTTCACCAATGAAAACAAATAGTAAAAGGGGAATCTGGGTACCGGATAAATAGGAACTCTGTACTATCTTTACAACTTTTTGATGTCTAAAACTTCTGAAATTAGAAGTTTACTTTTTAAAAAATTGAAAACTTCAGGGCTCTCCCTGGTGGTGCAGCAGGTTAAAGCACAGCATTATGAAGCTCTCAGAAGCCAATACAGCACGAGTTCAATCCCAGCCAGGGATGTGGCCCACAGGGAGTGGCAGACCTCTCCTGACACACCCACTGCTCCCCTCAGCAGTGTACTTTGCAGTCTACCTGTTCTGCTCCCCACTCTGTGTCTGGTGAATCCTCTCACCTCTGGCCTGTATCCCAGTTTTGTATGCATAAATAAATGCATCTTAAAAAAAAATTGAAAACTTCAAATATCACTTCATTTCAGTAAGCATGGTAGCCAGTTCTTAACTTTCACCTGCTGGACTTCCAATTACTCTTAGTTCAGTCACTACACACACTGGCCTCCCTTGCTGGCCCTGGAATGTGCAGGCAAGCATGCTCCTTTGGGCTAGCTGTTCCTTCTCCAGAATGTTGCCTGTATTCACAGGGCTCATTTCTTCACCTCTACAATTGGTGTCTCGAATCTCATTTTATCAATGAGGTTCACGCAGATCCCCATTTTTTAACAGCACTCCTAAGCCTTTTTATTCTTTGTTTCCTTTCCATAGCACTTATTATCTGAAAACATTTAATTATTAAGTTTATTTTTTAATGTCTGTCTCTATTCAAGAGCATATCTTTCACAAGGATAAGGACTTCTTACATTTTTGTTTGTGGTCTGTCTATTCACATATGTATACCAAGCCACCTAACCTGCCAGAGTAGGTATTCAATTTTTGCTGAATGAATGAAGTTTAATGTACATATTTCAGAAGGCGTGACATTTTAAAATGACAAGTTTTTATTAAGTAAAGATAATTCTTAAAAACAGACACCATAGTAATTACACTGTCTTCTGTTGTGCATTAACTTTTCTCTTGCACAGAAGCAAAAACAGGAAAATAGATGCATCATATGAGAAGTGTGCTTCCATTTCCATTTTAAAGAAATGTTCATACACAGAAAAACTATGGAAGGCTGTCAGAAAAATATTAACAGCTACGGGTGGTAAGCCACAAAGGCAATTTTCTCCCTCCCCTCCATATCTCATAGTTTTTTGACATGGCTGACATGCTTCCTTAATATATCTACTTGTTTTCCTGAAGAAACAAGATGTGTATTTAAATGATAAGGGGGGGGGGAAGGGTGACTGAAAATGCAAAACACAGAATTTCGCTTTCATTAAATCGAGATCTTTGAAAGCAGAATGTTGTCTCTTCTCCAAACCCTTAATGTTTAACAAGTAACAGGCAACCTTCCTAAGTGCCTTTGCAAAAAAAATACACACAGTAAGACAGCTCTGGGTAGATGCCCAGCAGATCCCTATTGCAAAATCAGGTTTTTAAAATGTCAAGTATTTTAACTGCAACCCCCTGAAAGTTTGCCTTCTAAAATGCAGCAATTTAAAAATTAAGCAATTTTGTAAACCTTCATTAACAATAAACAGTAAGTTACACAGTTTCCAAAAGAGAAGCCAAGGCCAGTGTAAAGTAGAAGCACAGAAAAACATTAAAAACGAACTTGAATTCTCTGTACAGCCTCGGCGCTTAAGCTCCGAGCTCAACAAGGGGCACAACAGAGAATCTCTTGAACTAGAGCACGAGATCGGTCGGTCAATATCTTTTCTGGAGCCAGTGGGGTGATACAGGGACGCAAGCCGATTTAGGGGTATGACCTGGACGCTCAGGATCCGATAGGGAAAAATCAATCCAAATCTGCATGGGGTTCCTAAATAAGTACTTATGGCGAAAAATGCAATACCTTTAGCCACTCATTTTCGACTCACCAACGATTGCCACACGTCGTTCAGGCAGAACTTAGGAACCAAGAGGAAACTGAGTACAAGGACCATGAAGAGCAACACTGAAATCCTTCCGTCACAATACAAGGGACCCGAGAAATGAAGTAAATTAGTTCCGTCTGAGTCGCGGCCAAAAAACCGATGAACGCAGGCTTGTTGGTGTCTCGTGATCATTCCTTAGAAGCGCGGAAGTCGCTTCCAATTCTGAAAGGGTTTGTGGGAAGTTTCTGGAATCATGGCTTTGCCCAGTCCGAAAATAGATCCCGAATACGCCGCTGCAGTCGCTGTACTAAAGCGGGCGGTGGAACTAGATTCGGAGTTTCGGTACCTGCAGGCTCTAGCGTTTTACGAGAAGGGGATGGATATGCTCCTTCAGGTTCTCAAAGGTGAGCGATGCGGCATGGAGGAAAGGGAGCCGGATAGCGCTGTGTCTGGGACGGAGAGAAAGAAGTAAAAACTGTTTTTACTCACCAAAAGTAAGCATTCAGACGCAGAAGTCAAATACAGAAGGTGGGATATCCTACAGGTCAAATGGACTGGTTTCCTTTATATCACTAATAATTTAGGGTCGAGGGGGTACTGCTCTAGATTTTTGAGACGAAACCAAATGTAATATATAAGCTTTGAGAGGGAAGACTTTGATTGTAAAGACATTTTTGGATCTACCTGAAAAGTATTAATATTTTTAGACAGACTTTTCCTCCGAAAAATATCCTTAACTTTCAGAGATGAAAATTTGAAGTGCTTGGGGGAAGAAATGTTATGATTCAATTTTATATGTGTTGGGGGTGTGGGGGTGGGAGGGAGTTGAAGCAAAAATGGCACTGCTAACGATTTTTAAATCTAGGTGGTGGATAACTCGAAACTCACTATACTCGTATCCTTGATTTTCTGTTTAAACAACTCTGCTAAAAGAAAGTAAAAATAAAATCAAATGTAGAAGAAAAAAGTTTTGATTAAAAGGGTGTATGTAATTCGGTGTGAGAAAAGCCCCGGATTGTGTGCAGGGACAGTGAGATTTTCTGCTATGTCGTCATTCAAGTCACTACGTAGTTGAGCGTTACCCAAATAATCCTTGATACCCAACATCAACCCTTTATGCACAGTATAATATACATCCAGTAGTTATGTATTAAATTGGGTAATACCAATTCTTGCTCCCTATCCCTTGGAGCTCCCGGTTAGCGATGACATCTCCCTCCTTATGCCTTGTAGTTTAAGGGTGCAGAAAGCTCTCTTCAAGATTCCAGTGCTTTTCTCAGAACAATAAACTGTCGGGGGATAATCGTGATAACGTGATAAGAATAGCTTTCTTAAGGGTGCAGAGTGCTAGGGACTGTGCAGAGCACATTAAAAGTATAATCTCGTCACCTTTAGAATCTCTCTATCTCTCTATGATGTAAGAGATGTTGCCTTTTTTTTTTTTTACAGCTTTGAAAAGCAGTTCGCTTACAAGTTTTGCCAGTAGGGGCCAATGGTAGAGTCAAAATTGGAAAGCACGGCTTTTCTAATTGGTATACTGCCTTCCCAAAAGAGCGGTGGTGGTATGATTCAGTCAAGTGGAATACTGCTCAAGTTACTACTGCTCTTGGAATCTGAGGCAGGAGAATCATTATGTGTTGGACATTATTGTGCTTCGCAGATCCCATAGAGCTTATTGATAAGGTGACATGAATTATTTACAGGTTTAGAACAAGTGCAAATAGCTATTAATACAGTGTTTGAGTGCCAGGAGAAAGATATAGACAAGGGCAATGACTAAACAGTTAAAGTTCATTTAGAGTTGAAAGATGGTGTCTTTAGGGTTTTGGAGGCATAAGTACAATATAATTTTAGAATTTAGAAATACAACTAAAGGCATTTAGTTGAATTTCCATCTTTGCTGTTTTACCAAATAAGTGACTCAGTTTGGTTCAGCGTATGTCTAAAGAGGAACTGCATTAGTGACTAGTTAGGACTGGGGTAAAATTTTATTGATAATGAATATTCATAAATATTTCATACTGTCTTTGGTAGCTGAGAAAAAGGTTGAGCATCGATTATAATGGGAAAGTCTGGAAGAGAAACTTTTTGTAAAAGATAGATATATGTAGATTGCTTTCTTTGGATTATGCCAAAATTTCAAATTTGTGGGCAATGAGGACAAAATAGAGCTCAGGTTTAACTAACATGTAATAAGCTGCTTTTTTTACCTTACCAGTTTGGTGTCTCCAGAGGTAAGAGTGGTATCAAAGTACTCACTCCTAAATAAAGTACTTCAAATGCTTAGTGCAAAAAATGAAGGCTGTTATGATTAAGGGAAATTTGAACCTTTTATTTGTATATATTTAGAATGAGGCCAACCATGCTAAAAGAGAAGATATTTGTAAAAAAAAAAACTTGTAAAACTGGAAATACCTGTCCTGAATAGAAAAACTGTTTTGAAATTGAAAATATATTCTTTTAATTTGTAGGGACCAAAGAGGATACAAAGAGATGTAATCTGAGAAAAAAAATTACTGAGTACATGGATAGAGCAGAACACTTAAAGCGGTATTTGGATCAAGAAAAAGAAGGTAGGCCCTCCCTGGTGGCGCAGCGGGTTAAAGCACAGCACTGAGAATCTATAGCCACTTCCGCATGAGTTCTATTCCCACCTGCCCCAGAGGTGACCACATGGCGTGGCAGACTTCTCCTGACCTGCCCGCTGCGCCCTTTAGCAGTGTACTTCGTCAATCTGCCTGTTCTGTTCCCCACTCTGTCTCTGGTGAAGCCTCTCGCCACCCCTGAGCCTCTGGCCTGTACCCCAGTTCTGTATGAACAAATAAATAAATCTTTAAAAAAAAAAAACACAAAAACAGCACTGAGAACCTAAAGCCACGTCAGCATGAGTTTGATCTCACCTCCCGGGAGGTGATCCACAAGTGGCGGAAAGACCCCTCCTGACCTGCCCGCTGCTCCTCTCAGCAGTGTGCTTCATTGATCTGCCTGTTCTGTTCCCCGCTCTGTCTCTGGTTAATCCTTTCACCACCCCTGCACCTCTGGCCTTTACCCCAGTTCTATATGTACAAATAAATAAATTTTTAAAAAATCAATAAAACGTAAAAAAAAATGGTAATTAAGTGGTATAAATTTCCACTTAAAACAATCTCTACAAGTTCTTTGAACAAATTCTAACTTGTTATACTACATTTATATGTTTAATACCCACTATAAATTGCAGAACATGAAAAAGATTTATATTTGAAGAAAAGAACCAAACAATCACTAAGTTAAAACTTGTGTTTCTACTCATGGTGACAGATTTATCTGAATTATTTACATGTAGTTCTTTCTTGAATAAACATCTTGGTCTATAGAATTTAGGTTGTGAATAAGTTCCAAGAAATCTTTGAATGTTCCTCCTTGCCTGGCCTCCATGCAGACAGAACTCAATCATGGAGTAGTTTGCTTATTTACCTCTGTATTTGTAGCATCTTGCAGTGTGACTGGTATATAGTAGACAGTCAATATTTGCAGAGTGTATGAATCATAAAAGATTAACTTGTATCTGATCCTGATTAATCACTATACATAAATATATATAAAAAGAAAATAAATGATCACTGGTTTTACTGTTGCAGTTTATGTTTTATAGATGGAAAGTATCATAAGCAAATTAAAATAGAAGAAAATGCAACAGGTTTCAGTTATGAGTCACTTTTTCAAGAATACCTTACTGAAACAATTACTGAAGTTTGGATAGAAGATCCTTATATTAGAAATACTCAGCAGGTACGTAAAGTGTACTAAAATACAATACAGTGTTATCATTTAAAATGTAAAAGTTGGTAATAACCTGTCCAATATCTTGCAGCTGTATAATTTTCTTCGATTTTGCGAGATGCTTATTAAGAGTCCATGTAAAGTAAAAACTATTCATCTTCTCACCTCTCTGGATCAAGTAGGTATCTGAAAAACACTTATTCTTCTTTAGTTTCATTTACTTTATTAAATTATAAGACACAGACCAAGCAAGGAAAATCTGCAATCATGCTCCACTTAAAGCTATTTCCTGCATAAACCATCTTGTGAAAACATGATATTGATTTCAGTATGTTGTTTCTTGCACTTGATCTCTTTACTAACCTCTCGTTCAAATAGTTTTGTCAGGTTAGTCTCTTGGATGTTCTAGGTGATTATATTACCTTGTAATATTGACAAGCTTGTCTTTAACAATTGTTAAATCTCTGTTTTCTTGACTCAATGGCCTCCTGGAGGGTCACTGCATAATAGTGGGCATCTGTATCTGGACTTGATTCAGATAACAATGCTTATAAATAAATCAGATTCTAGGAGAAAAAAAGGCAGTCCCCTTTGAATAACTAAACAACACTACTAAAGTATATTTTACGAGATAGAGTTTTATTATGTCTCCACTGGAAAAGAGCATCTTTTAAAATAATTGTGTTGATTTGCCATTTACTCACAAAACTATATAATTTGGGTAGTACAGTGTCTCCCATCAACATGTACATATGCATCACTTGCCCTCCACCAAGGCTCTACTGCCAGTACACTGTCATCTGACCCCCACTGGACACTTCTTCCTCCAACTCTGTTAACCACTATAGTGGTTTCACAGAAACTAAGAAAAAAGTTATTTTGATTAAAACTATTAAACATACTTGATATTTGGTTGCTTCTTTGAGGCACTAAAACTAGTGTAGAACCTTTCCATTTAAAATTAATAACTAAGGCAGAAATTATATTTTTCCTATTCATAGGACAGTGGGAGAACAGAGCAAGTTAGTGCCCTGAATGAAATAGAAGGGTCACTCAGGACTCATGGAGTATCATTGGAAGTAAAGTATTCTTCTTCAATACATGACCGAGAAATTAGGTTAGTATATAGTTATATTTTAATTTTTATGCAGTGGAAATATACTTTTTATTTCTCTTAAGTTGTTTAGATTGTATATATTCAATTTAAATACTACATTTTAAATAAACTCATTTTTTGTATCTTTTCACTTTTGAGAGGAAAAGTCTTAATTTTGTTTGATTGTGAGTTTCATATTTCGTGAGTTTCATATTTCGTGATGCTATAAATTTACTTGGTCTGTGTCATGTAAAGAAAAAATGCTTTTCTGTCTACTCAACTATTTCTATAATGTATTGGAATAATTTTCTAGTGAAATAACATTTAATGTAGCTTTACTTCTTTGAGTTTAGTAAATATTCTAGTAGCTATCACAGTATGCTGTGTCTAATGATGGTATATCCTTTATCTTCATGAAAACTTAAAACACAAGAAAAATGCAAAACAGATGAAAATATAGCTGCTGTGATTGAATTAAAGGTCAGAATCCCAGAGCTCTTCCTACTTACAGTATCCAGCTCTGGTAGGGGAAGACCTAAAACCACCACAGCCCACCAGAGTATACATATGAACCATTTGTTAACAGAAAAGTTTTTCAGCAAGCTGAAATTCAAGAGTAAGTGTAATTTTACTGTTAAACTCTATCAGTTAATCAAATAAACTGCTGGTTTTTGTAGGACTTTCTGATTCTTGGTAGACACAGCCAATGAGTAGCTCCAGGTTTGGTTCAACACATGCCACTGGAGGAAGGGATTTTCTTTGTTAGAAAGAACTTTTGCTGATATTTAATACACTGTAGCTTTAATAATTGACTTAAATGTCTGGAATGCAATGCTCTATATAAATTTCAATAGGTTTAACAATGGATGGATTGTCAAGATTGGAAGGGGACTTGATTATTTTAAGAGATTAAAGGTAGGATATAGTTTCATGATGAGTATGTTGTGCTCTTTTGTTTCATTTTAACATTATAACTTTAGTCCTTTTTTTAAAAAAAAACTCTTCTCTTCTTAGGGCCATTTTTCCATTGGATATTTTGATTTTGATTTAAGACCATGTCGTGAAACAACAGTGGACATTTTTCATGACAAGCACACACAAAAAATATGATGGGCAGTAGCCTTATTTACAATATATATTTCTATTTTTATGTGATTGTTTTTTTTTTTGACAGACCATTCCTGTAATGTATGAACTTAACAATAAACTTTTTCCTTTTTACTAACTTATGAATCAATTATGTAAATAATCCTGTGTTTTGTAGTTATATTACTCAGTAGATTTACAGTGTTTTCAAATCATATATTTAAACAGTTTACCAGCTTTTCCTTTGCTGTTGGAGAGTGATTCAGTACATATTGGGCATCTATTATGAAGGTAAATTGAATATTTATCTTAACCCTGGGAATAAGTCCAGGAGGAAAATTCATAGATTATTGTTAAGAGACATAATGGGCATGTGGGTCTAAATGTCTTTGGCAAACATTCACCAGTACTCAGAGCTCTTCCTACTATAACTTACCTAACTCTGTAAGTGTAAATCAGCCTGTTTATCTATACAAATGCACTTTGGAGCTCATTTTCAAACTTTACTGGCACATTTGTAAAACTTTGCATTTTAGAATCTACTATTGGTGGTGAGCTCATACACTCAGATTCCAAAGACTAGGAAATGGACTGGGAGAGGAGACACAGGTAGAGGCGATGGGCAGTCCGGAGGGTTCAGTTGCTAAGCTAAGTCAAAGTCCACAGAGGGAAACAGGTACTGGTACTGGAGAGTGCACAAATGAATACCATCTGTGGAAAATTATAAAGATTAAATCAAGATTAAACGGTGACAAAGACTAAAGCCAGGTGGAAATCATGGAAATAACGTAGAACACAGTGGGCCTGGGTAGCTTTGTACACGAGGTTTATATTTTTCCTTTATGAGCAACATGATTGAGTTGTCATGAAAGACCAAAAAGGGCTTCCAGAAAGTTCATGATATTTTTCTCTGTTATTTTTAGATTCAGGTGTGGAATATGCTGAACCTGAAAATACTCAAAAGCAGTTTTGCCAGTCCTTTATTATGTGGCTATTTAGGACCTTATTAGCCATGTAAACAAGTGTTGGACTTGATCAATAGTTACTTTTTGCAAAGTATCCTAGCTTATTTTTCCAGTTACCCATCACCATGTAAAAGTAGAGTGGCTTTTCATTCAGATGAGCACGTGTTAGATGTCTTTAGTTTCCTGTTGAAACAACTCTGATTTCTAGAGCATATGGATCTATTACTATAAAGAATAAGCAACCCACACCCCTATGAAAGTAACTTATCCAACTCCCATAGGAATCATACCAAGAGAAAATGATACTTAAAGAATGTGTCTAGACATACTAGTTATTATAGATTTTGTAAGTTCTATCCCCGATCCAATTAGAATACTGGAAGGCTATAGATACAAATTTACCTATTAAATATATCAAGAAATGGGCCCTCCCTGGTGGCGCAGCGGGTTAAAGCACAGCACTGAGAATCTAAAGCCGCTTCCGCTTGAGTTCAATTCCCGCCTGCCCCGGAGGCAACCACATGGCGTGGCAGACCTCTCCTGACCCGCCCGCTGCTCCCCTCAGCAGTGTACTTCATAGATCTGCCTGTTCTGCCCCCCACTATGTCTCTGGTGAAGCCTCTCACTGCCCCTGAGCCTCTGGCCTGTACCACAGTTCTGTATGCACAAATAAATATTTAAAATAATAATAATAATAAATGTGTGGGCATAAGAATGGAAAATAGATTAATGGGCTAGCATAAGGCATCTGGAACATGAATGAAGAGACAGAACATGTCTGAGAGAGACAAAGTGAATGTGAATAGAAGTACTTAATACACAGTAAATGTGTCTTTCAGATTAGTGGGGAAAGGTAGACTATTTTATTGTTAAAAGCTTGGCGCAGCGGGTTAAAGCACAGCACTGAGAAGCTAAGGCCACTTCCGCATGAGTTCGATTCCCGCCTGCCAGGGAGGAGATCACGTGGCGTGGCAGACCTCTCCTGATCCGCCTGCTGCTCCCCTCAGCAGTGTACTTCCTTGATCTCCCTATTCTGCTCCCCGCTCTGTCTCTGGTGAAACCTCGCACCGCCCCTGCAACTCTGGCCTGCACCCCAGTTCTGTATGTATAAATAAATAAATCTTTAAAAAAAAAAAAGCTACCTTAACTGGCATATTGTCATTGCAGCCCTAGCAAACTAACATAGTCTTTATTACTTCCTTTTTAAAAGAATCATTTGGGTATGAGTAGAAAAGTCAATTTTGGAAATAATAAAAAAGGTGACAATTGCAGGTCAAGAGAGAAGCAAATGGAAATTCAGGTAATAAAGGACATTTTGAAAAATTTCATACTGGATTTGGGAGATGAAATGAGGTTAAGAAAGCATTAAGGGTTCAGAAAAATGCAATAGGTTTGACATAGTAGGAGAGGGTGAAAGATAAGATATTGTAATAAAAAGGGAAAATTTTAGAGTTTAAGGTATTAGGCATGGCAAGAATCCTGGAGGGAAGAAAAATTAATTTTTTGAGATCAGAATGTTCAATATAGTATAAATCTCTAAGATGGTAATACGGAGTTAAAATATAAATGCATTCAAGATACTAAAATCAATGATGAAGAAGAGCAAAGTATCCTAGAAGCAGAAAATATAGACAAGATTAGGGATAGACAACTTCAAGTGGGGGAGAAGTTCTGTAAGAGAATAGACCTTTTTTATCTTAGGAAACACAATGTATGTTTAAATTTTTAATTTTCTCATTTAAACAGCCAATATTAAGAAATTTACATGAAATCACATTATACCCTTAATTTTTTCACAGAGAATATTCCATTTACTATGCAGTTCATCATCTTCTAGACATGTTTTATGTAACGTAATTTCAGTTGGGCAAAACTTACTGCCAATAAAACTTGAATTTAATTTGTCACATACTTCTAGTGGTAACCAATGATCAGGTGCTTCAATCTTACAGACTTCAATTCTTCCATTCTTTATGTCTATAAATACTTTAATTTCCAAGTGTGACTGTTTATATAAAACATTAAAAGAAGTGTTTATAGTAAACTTTGGAGTTTTGCCATATAGCCATTCCCAGGTTTGTAGTCCTTTGGCTTTGTTATTTATTCCAGGAAACAGTGTCTCATCTGTTGGGTTTATTAGGTGAATATGCTTATCAATGTGATGATATGCAGCATATTCTGCAGCAATAGCATTCATCATTACTTCACAGGTCAGAGTGGGATCTTTCTCCAAAAGATTTTTGACTGAGGAAGGTATGCTGGCAGTGGCATTGCTTTTGATCCCTTGGTAGGGGCTCATCAGCAAAGCTGACAAGAAGGTCCTGTCAGTACTACATAATAAAGTGCAATGGTGATAAGCAGCAGTCCGGCCAATCTTAGAAGCTGTTCCTGAGATTTTAAACTGTCCATCAAGTAAAATGTCAAACCTTTTGGTTGCCTGCACATCCAGCTGGGGTTGGACAGCATTCAGAGCTCTTACAACTAATTTCAGATTTTCCATCCGATCATACTTTTTTTTGGTTGAAAAAAAAGTTAAATTGATATTACCCATATCATGGTAGACGGTTCCTCCTCCACTTCTTCTTCGAGCCAGTTTTACACCTTTTTCTCTCATCAGACTCAGGTTGCATTCCTGCCAGGGATTCTGATGTCTACCAACCACAACACAGGGAGAATTTCTCCAAAGGAAAAGAATGGGCTTGCCTTCTAGATTCATGTGGTCATGGATCCAGTCTTCTACAGCCAGATTTTGGTATACATCATTGGAAATAGACTGTAAAATGAGCCCACTTTTTACTGTGCTTTTAAAGCCAGCTGCTGGGACCTTGAGGTTACAAAGTAACTGGAAGCAATTCTTCTTTGGAAATGGGATCTGCATGCTTTTGAAAATGAAAGACAAATTGATTGATATCTAAAAGGAAAATGAAATTATATTTTCTAGCCATCAGTTCTTGGTTATTTAACCCAAACTTTTCGAATTCTTTTAAATGTTCAGATCTAGTCTTTTTTAGTCTTTTAATTTTACCACTAGCCTTTAGTATTTCTACAACTGAGTACTCAAAGGAAATAATATATATATTAAGACAAACCTCAAGCCATTTTAGCTGAAATGGAATATGGACATAGATTTTTGAAACAATAAGTCTGCAAATGCATTATGTAATATATCTCAAAGCCAAAATAGGTATTTTGAATAAATAGATAATACATATTAAGAAAAATGACAAGCAAAAAAGACAAAATAAAATAATCCATAATGCCACAGCCTATAGATGATCACAATGTTTTGCTGTGTACCGACTTCTTTCTATGCATGTGTAACATACATACACTGCCTCTTAAAAGAAAGTGAGGGTAAGTATGTGAGGACCATTCTACCCTGTTATTAGTGGAAGTGACATCGAAGCTGTGACATAAAAGGGGTAAGGAAAAGCATTCCAACAAAATGTAACAGTTTGGAGGAAAAGGAGACCCATGCAAAGAATTCAAACAAATTAGTTCCGTAAGTTGCACAAGATGGCAGGTACTTTAGAATGCAAGAATGGGGAAGGCAGGAGTATAAATCAGTTTATAAAGAGGTTTAAAATCCATGTAAAATGCTTGAGCTTTATCCTGAAGGCCATGGCATAGGTGCTGAAGAGTTTTCAGGAAGCAGGAAGATCAGATTTATACTTTAGAGAGAATTAAGTATGGAGAATCTATAATACTTGGTAGAATGAGGGAGGGAGAGAGGAAAAGAGGGAAAGGGAGGGGAAAAAGGGAATGCAGTCATACACAAAGTCATGTGCTTTATGGTATAATGATCATAAGCTCATTCTGCATGTAAATCCCAACTCTGTTCTATCAGCTGAGTAAACCACTAAGACAAATTAGATGACTTTTTTGTGCTGCCTATACCTTATCTATAACATTTGTGTGACGAGAGGACTCATGTCAGAATTAAATTAACTAAAGAGCTTATAAGAGTGACACATAGCTATGTGTTACTAAAAAATGTTAGTCCTTTTATTACTGTCAATGCTCTGATTTCTGACTTGGGTGGAAATGGGTGGAAAATGGGTGGAAGGATGTGACATTTTCTAGGGCAGATTTCATTGACGAGGGCATATAAAATGAAAATAATTGGTTAATTTTGACCATGTGCTAAACTTGTGTGTATGGTCATCCAGTAACAAATGGATGATGACTGGTGGTAACTGAAAAGCCATGGAAGGAGACTACACTGACAGGTAAGGTTTTGAGAAAGGACATAAAGCCTGAGAATACCAAAAACAACAATATTTAAGGAATATAGAGAGGAAGGAGGGAGTGCTCCCAAAGGAAACTGAGAGGGAAGAAATTTTAAAATATTGTATTAAAGACCTATCAAGGAGACAAAACAGTTAACAATGTGAAATGTTGAAGACAGATCAAATAAGGTGAAGGTTGAAAAGGAACTATTAGAATTAAGAGCATCAAGGCTTTTAATTATCTTGGCAAGAAACAGGTGTAGGATAAAGTGGACGCAATGGGTATACTAGTATACAGTGGTTTAGAGGAAATGTAGAGTTAAGGAAGGATTTTTGATATAAGAGAATTGAGTATGTTTAGATCCTGTTAGGAGTCGGGAGAGAAACAGGACAACAGTGGTAAATGGGAGTCTCTGGCAAAGTGGTGATGGAATCTGGAGGTTAGGTAGAGAGGAAGTTAGACAGCAGAAGGGATGCTTTTTTCATTGTGATCCAAGGGAGAAGCAGTAAGGTAGGTGCGGTGGCTGCTAATGTAATGAGTGGGATCTGAGGGTTCGAAGAGTCTCAAAAACCTTGACAGACCCTTCCCTAAAGTTAAGGCTCTAACTCTTGTCTGCATATGCAGAATTTGACAGGAAACAAAATGACTAATAGCTAAAGGTTAGTATCCTCCTGCCAGTTTTATTGAAATATAATTTAACAGCCTTGAGGAAATCACCTCAATTCCTGGCCTCTAGGGGAGTTCCTACACAAACCAGGACTCCCAGTCTCGCCTAGAGGCTTGGACTCACTGGGACTGGGCCACCTCTCCTCCCTTCTTCCGTGTAACAGTGCAGAATGCCAGCTGAATCATAGTTTGTCATGACATAGTCAAGATTTGAAAGCCTGTTACATTTTATTTAATCTAAATCTGCATATCTCTCTACTTACACCCTTTAATTGCTATTTTTATAGTTTTCCAGAAAGGCAATCTTATTTCCATGCTCTAGGAGGACACTTCGCTACCACTACTGTGCATAACCAAACATGGTTGGCCCTCACGGAACAGCAAAAAAATAACAATCTCACCTATCCTTCCGGGCAAACTCAGCTCCTTAAACTTCAGCGAGGCTATTTTGCTGCCTCTTTGACAGTACATAACTTAAGCCGAGTCTCTTTCGGG